TCAACATTTATTCAGGGTGAACTCAGGTTCCCTATATATGAGAACCGTGTTTGGGTATTTTTACACTCTTGACCCAGGGTCTCTCACTTATCTGGAGACTGAAGGCAGAAGGACCTTCTGGGTAGATATTGTTGTAGTCCAGGCCAAAGAAGATGAGGGCTCAGACTAGGCATTGTCACAGGACTGAAGGGTTGTGGGGAGGGAATGTGGCATGGAAGAGACACGATGGAGTTAGAACTGATGGGCCATAGCTGGCTTATAACTTTTAGTGATGGACACAGCGTATGTTTCTGAACTTCTGGTATCCTGACTCACGGCTTGTTTTCATTTGTTTGTAATAGTCTGAGGACTTGGAAGCTTTGCAATCTGAGTTATTAGAAGTGATGACCTGGAGTGAATTTTAGAAGGCTGGTGCCAAACCAGTATTTCAAATAGTAATGTTTCTGAGAGAGATTTGTTATTCAAACTCTGGACCTGTTAATTGAAGGAGAAAATTGGGATAGGGAACATTCTGAGACCATCCAAAATAGTTAACATGCATAGGAATCTGGATCTGATTCTGAAAAGGGAATGGCCATTAGATAACTCTGACTTCTGGGCTTCCATGGATGCCCCTCAGAGGTGAACCCTCCACTGAGAAGGTCCTTTAGGTAGAGGTGTGATCCCCAAAGTTTGCTGCATGTTGGAATCATCTGCAGATCTTTACAATACACTGAAGCCTGGCTACTGCTCCCAGACATCCTGATTTAAGTGATATGTGGTACAACCTGGGCATTGGGATTTTTAAAACTTTCTAGGAGATTCTTTTTTAAAATTATTAGTATGTACTTTTATTGAGATATATTTTTATGATTGACATATAAAATGAATGACATCTATATAATTGAATTGTTTTTATGACTGACATAAAAATGTATATATTTAATGTATATACATCTTGATGAGTCTGAAGATAAGTGTACACCCTTGAAGCCATCACTATAAACAATGCATAAATGCAACCATTATCTTTAAAAGTTTCCTCGTCTTGTCATAAGAACACTTAGCATAAGATCTACCCTATTATTTTTATGTATACGTTTATTAAATGTAAAGGATAGCATTGTTAGCTATAGGTATTATGCTCTGCAGTAGATTTTTAGGACTTATTCATCCTGGATAACTAAAACGATTTGACTTTTGGCCAACACCTCCCTGATTTCCCCTCCCCCAAGGTCCTGGTAACCACCATTCTACTCTCTGCTTCTATGAGTTTGACTATTTTAGATTCCTAATATAAATGGGGTCATGTAGTATTGGTTCTTCTGTCTGTGTCTGGCTTATTTCATTTAGTACTCCCACAACTCAATAGCAAAAAGCCCAAATCATCTGATTAAAAAATGGATAAAAGACCTGAATAGTCATTTCTCCAAAGAAGACATACAAGTGGCCAACAGGTATACAAAAAGGTGTTCAACATCGCTAATCATCAGGGAAATGCAAATCAGAACTACAATGAGATACCACCTCATACTTATTAGAATGGCTATTATCAAGCAAACCAAAGATAACAAATATTGACAAAGGGAACCTTTATACACTGTTGATGGGAATGTAGATTGGTACAGACTATGGAAAATCCCATTTCTGGGTATATACCCAAAAGAATTGAAATCAGGATTGCAAAGAGATATCTGTACTCCCACGTTCATTGCAACATTACTTACAATAGCAAAGACATGGATAAAAGCTAAAATGCTCACTGATAGATGAACAGGTAAAGAAAATGTGGCATAGACATACAATGGAATGCCTTAAAAAGAAGGAAATCTTGCCATTTGCCACAACGTGGATGAACTTGCAGGACATTATGCTAAGGAGGTTCTAATATGTAGTAAAGTTTGGGAAACTCTAGAGTAGGAAGTAGTAGGGATGAATATTTGATTTATGGTGATTCTCACACTTGAGTGTGCATCAGAATCATCTAGGGGGCTTGTTAAAACACAGATGGCTGGGCCTCACCCTCTGAGTGTCAATAGGTCTGCAGTGCGATCTAAAAATGAGCATTTCTAACCAGCTCCTAAGTGATGCTGATGGCTGGGGCCATGCTTTGAGAGCCACTGGCTTAGAAGAGTTGAGTCTGGCATTGTCACCTATGAGCTATGTGATCCTGAGGCTATCACCTGGTCTATAAGAAGTCCATTTCTGTATTTATAACCCAGGGACAGCAGTAGTGATTACTTTATGGGTCATTGTGTGGGTAAAATGAGATGATATTTGTAAGCTGCTTGGCACAGGGCCTGGACCACAAAATGTGCAACCTATGGCAGACCTTATCAATAATAGTATGTGTTTTTCAACTGGAGTCTTGGCAGATCTTTCCTTATGTTCAGTTGTGCCAGTTGGTGAATAATGTTACAGTGAGTTTCTGCTCCTAAAGGTCCTACTTTTAGGATTTCTGGAACAGGAAAACTGAGATACTCTTATGAGCTGCAGGTGTTCTGGGTTCCAGCAGGAAGGGTCCACCCTGGGGGTGTGGGCATATGCTAATTGACCATTGTCAATCATCTTTTTTGACCTGATGTGTGTGTTATGGGCTGTGGTCAAGGACTGCTTTCCTGTCCAGATTCCATGTGATTATCTCACTGTCTTGTACCACGTTCCAGACACATTTAGTGCAGCGAGTTGTGGTTGTCCTAATGTCACCATGGAAACTTAACTGCTACAGAGGGAGACTGGAACAAGGCCCTAATGGTCTTGAAAACCACAAAATGTGTCCCCAAGAGGGGGCTAGTGCTGTGGATTTCCACATGATTTTTTTTTTTTTTTGAGACAGAGTCTCACTCTGTCACTCAGGCTGGAGTGCAGTGGAGTGGTGGATCTTGGCTCACGGCATCCTCCACCTTCTGGGTTCAAGTGATTCTCCTGCCTCAGCCTCCCAGGTAGTTGGGATTACAGGCACATGCCACCATGCCCGGCTAATTTTTATATTTTTAGTGGAGACACGGTTTCACCATATTGGCCAGGCTATTCTCAAACTCCTGATCTCAGGTGATCCACCCACCTCGGTGTGTTCTTTTTTTCATTCAATTTGTCCAGAGCATTCTCGGGTGTATATTTACCTCCCTCCCCAATTTTGCAGAGGAGAGAACTGAGGCTTAGCATGTGTTTCCTTGCAGATTGTAGACTTCTTCTCCAAAAAGGAAGGGGTGCTCATGTCAGCCAGGGCTCCAACAGGCAAAGCTGGCCTATTGGCACACACTGTGGAGCACAGAGGAGGCACCGCTCCCCTGGGACTTCCTGAGCACCCATGGACTGCAAAATCTATTAAAGTATTTTTGTTCCTTAATGTCTTCAACAGGTATGAGGTGGTATCTCATTGTAGTTTTGATTTGCATTTCCCTGATGATTAGTGATGTTGAAGAGATCAAGACCCAGATCAGACCAAGTCCTAGATGAAGACATCAAAGAACAAAAATACGTCAATAGATTTTGCAGCCCGTGGGTGCTCAGGAAGTCCAGGGGCTCTTTGGTACTTTAAAAACTACCACCGCTTTTTTTTTTTTTTTTTTGAGAGGTACTAATCTAGCTAGTCTTTTTATTACTCCCGCATATTGTGAGGGCAAAGTGACTATATTTTCTTTTTATAGTTTGGGAAATCTAGTGAGTATGGAGAAAGGGGCATTTAGGACTGGCCCAGAAAGTCAGAGGCAGGAGCCAGTTTGCCCCATTTTGAGTCGTGTTTGGCCAAGGTGAAAGTCTGCCTCTGCCCAGGGACCCTAGGGGTGAGAGACTGAGTTTTTCTTTGTTCTCACTGGACTAAAGAACTGAATGAGAGGCACAGTTAGGGGAATGAAGAGTGCAAAGGTCAGGGGAGGTCGTCTTGTCCAAACCATTTGTCGATAAGGACTCAGTCCCAGGGAGGGGAGTTGACTTGCCCAGTGTCAGAGAGGATGCTGTGATGGGGTGGGGCCTAGAAACCCAGATGCCTGCTTTCCTTCCTCACTTGTGCTTTTCCTTGTCTTCCTCAACACATCGCAGGCATTTATCTATGTGCAGTCTGCTGGGTATCTATTGCTTTTTTTTTTTTTTTTGCTGTCACTCTGGTGTCCTTGTTGTGATTGATGCTACCACCACCCTGTAAAGGAAGGCATGATATGATTCAGATAAACTTTTAATAGGCAGGTCATACAAATGCTCTACTATTGGTACCATTTATAGAACAGTCATTGCAGGTATTGTGCAAGCTGCTTTAAGTAGCTACATAGTGTTTAAGCCTTATAACTCAGAGAAGCAATTATTAACCTCCCCAGTGTACCGATAGAAGAAGTAAAGCAACTTGCCTGGGGTCACACAGCAGGCAAGAGGCAGAGTAAAGTTGATTTACCATCCATATTCTTCAGCTGTTATACTATATCGCTGCCTGCCATTGCAGGATAAGGAAGATTCTACCTCAGAAGCAGCAGCAAGCCACATAAATAAAGATTGCCACCTGCTCACCCTAAACCTTTGTGAATATTTGATTCTCTGGAAAAATAAGGTTGCTCAGAAATAGGCCTAGATGCCATCATAGCTAAGGCTGCCGTGTGTCTGACATTGACGCAAAAAGTAAAAGATAAAATCCAGTTAAGTATATTATTTTGAATATGAAATAACTGAGTGTTTTGAAATTTTCCTTGTCAATCCATCTAGTCACTGGGCTAAAGTTTTTCACATGCTTGGGAATGTTCTCATTTGCACAGACTCTCCTTGCCTGAGCTTTCTCCCTTGCAGGAGAGTGTGACAGAAAGGAGAGATGAAAGTTATTTTTAATTTGGCCACTGAACAAACATCCAAGTATTCTCTTCCAGCAGCTAAGCCTATATGTTTTCTCAACAGGGTATTAATTACCTGGCTCTGGGAATGGCCAGACAGGCTGTTCTGGCTGCCCTGCCAGTCTCATATGCAATTGCTCCTGCACCCAGCAGGACTCAGAGACTTCAGCAGGGAGCATCCTCTTTCTCAATAAAGTCAGACATAGGTACTGGGTAACTTGTTAAACACATTTATTGATTTCTTGACAGTAACCAAACACAGTGAGTGACCATTATAAACAAGAAAAGAAAGGCATTCGTTTGTACTTTGTGAGATCTGGCTGCACCTGGAGAGAAAAGATACCCCTTTCCCAGGAACTTACAAGGCAAAGTGCATTCCTTCACGGGAGCATCACAGGGGGGCATGGCAGTTTTGAAACGCAAGAAATCTGTCGCCTGCTATCTCAGGCTGAAGCTCACCTCATGTGAATGATCGAGCCATGGAGTGGAATTAAAGTTATACTTGCTTAGCAAATGCATTCCTGATTGCCACAAACTCAGTAAAAACTGGCTGCAAATGAACAAAACACGTAGATGAAGGAACAAGTGAAATCAAAGAATGCAGTTGCATGGAGCCAGGGCTTAGCCTGTAAGGAAGGAGAATAGACCAAAGCCAGAAAAATGAAATTAACTCGTTAAACACATTTATTGAGCTGGTAACAATAACCAAACACAATGTATGACCTTTGGAAAACAAGAAACAGCAAATGAGTCATTTCTGATCTTGGCAAATCCTACTACAGATATGTGACAAAGAGGGAAATAATTCCATTTCTTTATAGTCTGTGGTGATATATATACAATGTGTAGCTCTTCAATGTCTGTCCTTTTTTTTTTCTTTTTAAATTGTTGAGTAAACAGAAGAATCATAATCTAGAAATAAGTGTCCTTGGTCAACTTTGTCCTGCTCACCTGCTACCAACACCCTCAAAGGATCCTAGGACACTATCTGAAATTACTTGATGCAAAGTCCGTTTGATGTCATCAGAGCTGTATTTTCTCTCTCTTTTGGAAGAATTTTGTATGTACAAAGGCTGAAAAGTCTCATTGGGTAGATTTATTAGTTCAGGAAAACAGTATCAAAATTGTAATCAGGTTAACTGGTTATTTTCTTCTAAGACCTTATGAATGAGACTTTTGTTTCTGAAACTTGACTTCCCATGATGGAGGTTGTAAGAGAGTGTGTATAGGTATGTTTGCATGTGTGTGTATGTATGTGCAAGTGCTTGTGTGTGTGTTTGTGAGTGTATGAGAGATGTATTCCTCTGCCATGGTTTTGCAGACACTTTTCATGAAGAAAGGGCCAATCCCAAGAATGAATGAGGCTTGGGGGAAAGAAGGAGAGAGAAGCAAGAAGGGGGACATTCTAGGTTACGTCAATTCACAGTTGTAGCATTTCACTGAGGTGGGATTCTTCTTGGCTTTGTTCCCTACTTGAGGAGCCATTCATTTACTGCAGAGAGAGAGAAAGAAAAAAAAATCACACATACAATATAAAATGAGGCATATTCAATTAATTTGCACAGTTTTAGGGAATTCCTCCAGAGGGGACGGGACTGTTTTGTAAATGCCTGCTTACTTATGTGCATTTCAACTACCCCCTTCCAATTCTCCATGACCTTCTAGGCCTATACTGACCAACATACTATACATTTAAATTAATTAAAATTAAAAAATTAGTTGCATCATTGTACTAGTCACCCATCCAATGTTCAATAGCCACATATGGCTAGTAGCTGCTGTATTGGACAATGCAGGATAGTAATCAACCTATCATGAAAACATTCCCGTTACCACAGAAAGTTCTAGTGGATGACACTACTCTAGGCCAGGGATGGAAAAACAACAGTCCACACATCTAATCCAGCACAATACCTGTTTTTATAAATAAAGTTTTATTGGAACCCAGTCAAACCCATTCATTTACATATTATCAATGGCTGATTTCATACAATAATGTCAGAGTGCCACAGAGATTTTATGGCTTCAAAACTTAACATATTTACTCTGTCCTTTATAGAAAAAGTGTGTAGACTCCTGTTGTAGACCATATGCTCTGTGTGGCTAGGGGTCCTATCTGTCACCCATCACCCAACTAACTGACACATACTAGGAACACAATACAGGGGTGTTGACTAAGGAGAAGAAGCAACGAATGAGTTAGGTAATTTTCTGGTAGTTCTGGCTGGAAGGGAGTGGAAAATATGTAGTTTGGGCATGCAAGTGTATCTGAGAGAGAAAAAAGAAGGGAACATGGGGGAAGTAGGAAGAATGAAGTGGAGGATCAAGGAGTAGTGGTGGAGGCTGCTTCTAAAAGCTGTCTGGTAATAACCACAGCCCTCCTATTTGGGGAGCATGTTATTGCTACAAAGGGCCTCCCCATCCAGGCTCTTGTTTGCTTCCTTTAACAAGCTGTGAAGTAGATGGCATAGGAACTGTCATGAAGAAGCCAGGTCTAGGGGGTAAATAATGTGGCTGGGTTTGTACAGCTTGTTAGAACCAGGCCCAGGACTTAGATGTCCTGATTTCCAGTCCAGGGCCCTCCAAGACCCCATCTTGCCTCTTCCTACACTGAATGTTTACCACAATGATTAACAGATGTTTAGTAGTATGCAGAAGGGAAGAGAGAGAGGGCTGGGTGTGGATCACAGAGTTACAGGAGGCAGATGTCACCTTAAATGTCCCCTTTAGTAGGAATAATAACCATTTCTAGGGACATAGCACTGGGCAAAGATACACTCACAAATTATCCCATTGGATCCTAATGACCTGCCCTTTAGAGTATTTGTTAACCTTCTAGGGAAAAGGGGGTCTTTCTTGCATATACTTAGAAGCTCTAATGCTTTTTGCTGTCCTGTTCTAACAGATCACCTTGGGAGCATCAGCCTTTCTGGGCTCTTCTATAAAATGGCAATAAAAAGAAGCTGTCTTGCCTGATCTACAGGGGTTTTAAAGGTTTGATATATGTATTTAAAGGTTATATATGTATATATCACATATATCAAACCTCTACACCTTGCCATCTATCCATCCACCCACCCACTTACCTACCTACCCACCTACCTAGATGTGTTCATACAGATATCTATATCACATATATCAAACCTCTACACCTTGCCATCTATCCATCCACCCACCCACTTACCTACCTACCCACCTACCTAGATGTGTTCATACAGATATCTATATCACATATCTCAAAACTTAAGACCTTCACCACCATGCAAATGGAGCATGATGGGTTATTGTCATTTATAATCATCATTCCTATGATGGAAGATAATGCCAGGCCTTTAAGAACAGGTCTAAGCAGAGAGACTGAGCTCTGGCCTAGATCCTCCACTCTCTGAGCCACCACACCCACCTCTATACTGAAGCTTCTGGGCTCGGTTGTTTGGACAGTCCTTCCCCTGTAAACTGAAGTTGATATTGGTGCGGATGCAGCGGTTGTTGAGTGGCTGGACAGGCCTGAAGTTGTCACTCATGCTCAGAAAGATCTGAGATGGCTGGTTCTGGCTGAGCAGGCGCAAGGAATGCATCTGAGGAGAGAGAAGTAGCCGTGAGATCCAACCATCCTCTTAAATGCACTAGGGAAGAAAATAAGACCACAGAGACTGTGGCCAAGCTAGGTGGTATCAGCTGTATGAGGAAAGGGCTGTATAAATCCCACAGAGTCCCTTTTTTCCATGGGTTCAATTGAGCTGAAGGCCCACTATGTCTCCGTGCATGAAGCCAGCCCTGCTTCTAGCTTATTAGCCTGTGTATGCCTCTGAACAAGTCACTTGCGCTCTGTCACCCTCAAATGCAGCATCCATAAAAGGAGGAAATCTGGTTAGGTTTCTCCAGGGTTTGTTCGTTCTTTGATACTCTTTGGTTCAATAACTCCATGACTCCCACATAGTATTACCTGGATCACAGTGACTGGTCCATGGGTCAGAGCTAAACTAAGCTGGACCAGTTTGGTTTCTTTTCTGTGAGACTATGAGGGCCAGGTGGCTGGACTGTTTGCAGCCGTGTTCTGCCACAGGACTGTGAGGCCAAAGAAGACGGTCTCTAGCAGGAGAGAAGAATGAAGTGAATGTGTGGTGACAAGAGGACAGCAGAGAGAAAGCACTTCTGGGGTTCCCATTTCAGTGAATTTCTGATGTCAATTTCTGATGTTAAATTCTCTAAGATGCCCCTGTAGCTCTCAAATAAATGCTTTTTCTAAGCTTAAGCGGGGAGTTACTGTTGCCTGTCACCTAGTGAGTCCTCATCAATACAGATAGGATAAGGAATTTCAAATTGTTCAGATGGTTGTCAGGTGAGAACACATATCCCATCAAGGAGATTGGCTTCTGCTTCCTTTGCTCATCTCTCCTTTAATTTGTTATAGACTCCCACAGTTGTAGAATGTCAGAGCTGGAGCGAACTCATGTAATTTATCCCCCTCTCAATAAAGAAGAGGAGTGTTCATTTCATAGAGGTGGGGTGACAGGCCTGAAGAGCACAATAAGCTGTGTAGCCAAGCTCACACAGGAGGACCCATCTGCCTTCCGTCGAGTTCTGAGGAGTACTAACTCTGCGAGATGATCCAAAAAAACCCCACATTCAAATATGTGTGCGAAACGCTACGTATCATACCACTTCCTCTTGAAGACTGACACATGTATTAGCACTTAAGAAGGACCCCAGAAGTCCTTCAAGAATGGAATCTATTTAACTTTTTAAAACCCAACTTTTTCAAATGCATGATGACGTCTTCCATTTTGCTGGCTTGCTTTCTGAACACTGTAGTTGTAGAATGCACTCTGGGAACTAATGGCTGTCTTTTCCCACTGCGACAGGTGAGATGCTTCTATAATTAGCTCAGGCTAAGCCTTTTGGATGCTGGCTCTTTAAACCCAGGCATATGGGTTGAATCGTATACCCCTGAAATTCATAAGCTGAAGGTACTGGTAACCCCCAGTAGCTCAGAATGTGACCTTATTTGGAAAATAGTCATTGCAGATGGAATTAGCTGAGACAAGCTTATTGGGGCTAGGCTTTAATGCAATACAGAAGGTGTTTTTATAAAAATGAGAAATTTGGACACAGAGCCTCAGACACAGAGAAAACACCTTATAAAGATGGAGGTAGAGGCTGGGTATGGTGGCTCACGCCTGTAATGCCAGCATTTTGGGAGGCCGAGGCAGATGGATTACCTGAGGTCAGGAGTTCAAGACCAGCCTGGTCAACATGGTGAAACCCTATCTCTACTAAAAGTACAAAAATTAGCCAGGCGTGGTGACATGTGCCTGTAATCCCAGCTACTCAGGAGGCTGAGGCGTGAGAATCGCTTGAACCCAGGAGGTGGATGTTGCAGTGAGCCGAGATCGCGCCACTGCACTCCAGCCTGGGTGACAAGAGTGAGACTCCATCTCAAAAAAGAAAGAAAAAAAATGTAGGTAGAGCTTGGGGTGCTGCTTTTAAATACCAAAGCACACCAAAGATTGTCAGCAAACCATTAGAAGCTAGGGGAGAGGCATGCAACAGATTGTTCCTCACATCCCACTGAAGGAAGCAATGCTGCCAACACCTTGGTCTTGAACCTCTAGTCTCCAGAACTGTGAGGCGATAAGTTTGTATTGGTTTAAACTACACAGTTTGTGGGACTTTGTTATAATGGTCCTAGTAAACTATTAGAATAGGCATTCCACAATTCAGTGATTTTTTTTTTACATCATTCTTTTCCTTTAGCTAAAAGACCAGAGAGAAACTCACCTGCATCCTGGTTATATAGACAGGTTTGTTCATTATGATCCAACTTGCTGTCTCATAGCAGGGTGGGATAGTCATCGACCCATCGTAAGTGATGAAACTAGAGGTCTCTGGATATAGTTCCTCTATATTAAGCCCCTGTAGTAAATATGCATCATCTAGAGAAGGAAAGAAGATTTAAAAATTAGGTTTCTTGAGAAAGGGATGGTATTGCTGACATATATACACACATATATACATACATACATATATACACACATATATACATGTATACATATATACACATACATAGATACATATATACACATACATACATGTATACATATATACACACATATATACACATACACATATATACACATATACACACACCCACACATATATATATATATATCGGGGCCAACATAATAAGTTAACATTGGATATCAGCATTTGTCTCTGACTGCCTCTTAAATCCCTAATATGTGTCAGGCACTAAGCCAGGTATAGGTGAGTAGGAAATAATTAAGTGAATGCAGAAGGCATCATAGAGACACTGACCTAAATCTGCACTGGGCCCAAGAGAGGCTGTGAGTTTTGTCTGGGGCGGGGGTGCGGGGGACTGAGGAAGGAATGAATTGAGGAGTTGACTTCAACTGCATCTTTAACAGCAGAAGGTGATCAGTGTGTAGCTGGCAGTGAGGTAGGGTGTCAAGGCCACTGTAGACAGAGCAATGCTAGAAAAAGACCCAAGGAAAGAGTAGTGTGTACTTGGGGACGAATGGAGTGTGAGCTGCAGGGGGACATGGAGATGCAAGGGGAGGGAGGGCTGCTGTGAGAAATGTGGCTGGTGGGGTCAGCACAGGCCACACCAGAAGATCTTTCCAGCGCTACTGGGAGTTTGGGCTTCATCCGGAGGCAATGCAGAACCACTGAAGGGTTTGAAGCCAGGGAGTAGCGTGATCAGATCTGCACTTAATGAGGCTTCCTCTAATGGTGGTTTGGCCTGAAGATTAACATATTGAATAAGAGAAGGAAGCATTCGGCACATTTTTGTTAAAGGTCAATGTGATTTGCTTAACCAAGCTTGCACGAGGAACACATTGCGTACTCTAGCATGCTGTTATTATTGCATTTTATTTTATTTGGGGTGGTGGGGAGAAGTGAAGAAGTGGAAAGAGAGGCATTCCAGGCATGACTGGAGTAAATAAAAGGAACATGTTTTGTTTCTTTGAAACTATAACCGGCCTTTGTGCTGCACTTATATTTGTGGAAAATACTGGGGGCCGAGGTGTGGTATAGGCTAGGAGCAAGAGGCAAAGGTTATGCTCAGGGATTTCTTACACACAGCAAGTTTCCAAAACACCATAGTGCTGATACCCCAGACTCCATCCACTGAGGTCCTGCCAGGAGATCCCTCTTTGTCCACTCCCTCTCCAAGATGCAACAGTCATCAGAGGACATAGGCAGCTTCTGCTGTCCTGACATTTTCATTCCCCACTGTGTTCTTTCTGCAAATCTTGTTAATACGTATACTCTACCTTTTGCCCTTTCTGTATCCACACACAGCAGAACTTGGAAAGACCCAGAGTGGAGAGAGTGAGCTTTAGACTCACATCTCAGTTGGAGCGGACTTTGCTGCTCACTGTCCGTGTGTCCTTGGACCCATAGGTAACCATCTGAGCCTCAGTTTCCACATTTGTAATATGCAGATGTTTGGAGTACTTGGCTCATGGGCTTGTTTGAGGAATAAACGGGATCATGCTTCTCAAGCACCTAGCACAAGGTGCGGTCCAGGTTTGTCACATCCTCCTGCCCTGCCCTGGAGGGTCCTTGCCCTGCTTCCCTGGGATAACTACTGTTCCTCTCCTCAAGGACTCCCTGGCTTCCCCAGCTGGGCCAGTGCCCACCTCTTTCACTGTATTTACTGAATTAGCTTGCCAATCATTATTTACCTGTTTGACTGTCCGTACTAAACTGTGCGCCTTCAGGGGAAGGGTTTGCATCTTTCATCTCCGAGCCCCCAAATGCCAGCATGAGTCCACCACATAATGGGTGTATAGTAAACACTGCTTGAATGAACGAATGAAATGGTTTCTGCTCAGCGGCTCTGCTTGCCGGCAGTGCTGGGCAAAAGCAAGGGAGGAAGAGATGATATCATCTGTCGGATGAGGGGAAGCATCTCTGAGGTTCCAGTCAGCGTCCTCAGCTTAAATACATGCTGCCTACCATCCCCGCCCCCATGTGTCACACCCTAAGACATTAGGGTGAGATTGCCTGCCCTGTTTCCATCTCCCTATGGTATTACCATGTTTCCATATCAAAGACTCCTGTACCTTCATATTAACATTGCTGAGTCGGTGTGCATTTAACGTGTCATGTTTGTTTTCATGACTCATCACGCTGCCTCAGAGGCTGCCATTGAATCAGTGTCTGTCTTTTAGGTATTGGGATTTGAAAGACACTGGCTAAAGTTTTTGCATCTTCTTTTCTCTCTATTGAAGCTTGCTTGGTATGTTTGATAGGACAGAGGCAGAAGGACCCAAGAAAAGAACATGAGTAAAACAGAAGTATTCAGCCCTAATGTCAAGGCATGCTGGGGTGTTTTCCAGGGCTAACTAGGCCAGGAACTAGTTTTTCATCACATACTATCTTGTCCATGCAGCAGCCAGCAGAAAACCATTGTTTGGTTCTTGTCAGCGTTATCATCTGGGCATTATAGACAGAAAGGAGACTGAGAACCAATATACCAGAAGGGCGATTCTTCTCTCTAAACTTCCATGGCTCTATTCATGAGTAAGGATGGCAAAGATCTAGAGGGGGTCAGAGTTGTTTGTGAACAAAGATACAAATCTGGGGTGAAGCTCAGAGGCCGGTGGGAGTGATCCTGCATGCCTCTGCTTGCTTTAAGGATGTTTATTGGTGGAAGTGAGGACAGATGTTCAAATCAAGTTTCATGAATAGTTTTACAGAGAGGTTTCTCTACCTATCCCCTCTCTCTCTCTCTCTCTCTCTCTCTCTCTCTCTCTCTTTCTCTTTCTCTCTCATATCTCTATCAGCTATTTACCTGTCATCTGAGAAAACAGCTTATAAAGGGCAAATCCTAGATGTCAAGTCAAGAGTCCTAATTCAAGTCTGAGTTCTAATGGTAGCTTTGCCAGCAACTCATTCTTCCTTCATGGAAAAGAATGTAACCTCTTACTTGAGGGTACCAGACAGTCCTGGAAAATTGCATCTTCAAGTATTAGGATCCAAAAACATCTTTCAACTTAAATAAGCTTGTTAGCCAAATTTATCTTAGGCAGGTCAAATTTTTGTATGACAGTGTTGTAATTTTGTATGTGTTGGCTATATCTTTACAGTAAAGGAAGACCCCTTGGATCTTGGATAATCAATAAGTGTAGAATACATGTGTGTAGTTTATCACCCAATTTTGTAATTTCAAATGACTCCAGAAATTGACAGCTGAACCTTTGGTTTTTTGACATGTTCTTGATGAACCTGTGATTTATCTTATACTGAGTTCTTAGTCATGGTTACAACCCCCAAGCTGACTTTTTCTTTTTGTAGGAGATGTACACTGTGATAAAACGCCTAGGACCACATGGGGTGGGTGGGGGAAAACTTTCCCTCAGTCTGAGCTCTTTTTTTTTTTAGTCTGCATTTAACAGGCAGCCTCTGTTAAACGCATTGTGCTTACTCATGTGGACCACTGATGAGATTTAATATTGCCCAGCTTCCTGCTTATGAAGTTCCCATTCAAAGAGAACTATTCCAATGAGAACAAAGCACGGCAGTTTCAGAGATCAATACTGGACTAGTTCCTGATCAATATGGAACTATTTGGCAATTTTCTCATATAGAATGACATTTCCTCTTGTAATCTGAGGCAAATTCAACTGAAATGAAAAAAGGCAATTACTAAAGAATGAAGTAATATGATATTTTGTTTTACACAAACAATAAATGAAAAAAGGGGCCTCTGAGAATTGGATTCGTGGAGGTGAGCTGCTCCTGTTCTGTTCCTTGCTGACGTGAGTAACTACTTAGATTGCAACATGGAAAGTGGTGTGCTGCATTTCGCATTCTGTGAAAACATTTCCAAAGCCGTTCCTTTGAAATGAGAGTACAAGTTCAATTAAGCATAGAGAAAGGCACCAGGAGCAATATGCTTAAACTCCTTGGTGATATTTCATCACATTTAACACTGCGTCCCTCTGAGGAGCGGCGCATAAAACACTTCCCAAAGAACTGAGAAGTTTAAGGCAGTTCCAAGTTAGTCTGTCCTGGCCTACACATTCATCTTTTAGCTGAATAGAATATCTGGGGGTTGGGGGAGGTTATAAAGTTATAACGGGTAAAGCAAAGTTATAAACGGGTAAGACTGAAAAAAATGCTTTAAGGGGCTTGTGCCATGTGTTAGAACGCTGTATTTGAAAGCTTTCCTCCAGATGCCTTCAGTGGTGTGGTTTTATTTCCTTAGAGGAAATACTTTAAGACAATAGCCGTATCTCTTTTTTTTTCTTATTTTTTATTTGAGATGGCGTCTCACTCTGTTGCCCAGGCTGGAGTGCAGTGGCGTGATCTTGGCTCACTGTAACCTCCACCTCCCAGGTTCCACTGATTGTCCTGCCTCAGCCTCCCAAGTAGCTGGGATTATAGGTGCCTGCCACCATGCCCAGCTAATATTTGTATTTTTGGTAGAGACAGGGTTTCACCATGGTGGCCACGCTGGTCTCGAACTCCTGACTTCAGGTGATCTGCCCATCTCTGCCTCCCAAAATACTGGGATTATAAACGTGAGTCACCACGCCTGGCCACCATACCTTTTTAAATTTGAAATTTGTGATCTTTTGGATTCTTATTGGACTAAAGCTCACCACTGTATTTATTACCCATGAAATGAATGGGGCATGTGACATTGAAGGAGAATGAAGCTACCAAAATAATACTGTCCTAGGATGTTGGAAGAAAGTGTTTTATATGCAGTGTTCTAATAACTATTCCCTCTTACCCACTTAAAAAGCCTCTTTACACTCCATCGGTCACTAGTTTAGCCACTTGAAAATAGCATAAAATCTCTTTAAAAAATAATGCTAGCTTAATGAAATCGGGTAGATAAAATAAGAATACTACCTTTTATTGGGATTCTGTTAATGCCAATTAATTAACACAAGAA